GGCCTGCTGGCGCACAGATCGCGTTTCGGCGTCCATGCACGTAAACTTTGGCGCTCCGCGCAGATTTCTTGGATCCGCGCTTGGGCCCCCCCTGCGGCGCCTCAGGCGCCGCCCTGGCGCGCTCCGCGCGCCAGGGAGGGCTCCGCGCGCCAGGGGGGGGTCCAGCCCGGATCCAAGAAATCTGCGCGGAGCGCCACAAGTTAATGTTTATGCCGTTCGTTCTTCTTCTAGTGTCAGCAGGCAGTCGTCGAAGAGGCGGGGCTTCTGTGATGCGAGGGGGCCATTGGCTGGCCTCGCCGTCCTTTCCCGGCTGAGAGCCGCGCGCTGACAGACCGAGACACCTCGACCAGCCTCGACCCACGCGAGCAGGTATGTTCGCCTGGTGTCGGGTATGCAGTTACGGCTCCCTCAAGGTTTTATTTCAGAGTTTGGATCATGCGGCCTGCAGACATGGAGTCTGCCGTCCCCCGAGGGTTCTGACTCTTGGCGGGCTTGAGAGTTCATCTTTACTACTTGATATCAATACTTTGTTATCTCTCTCGCTCAGGCTCTGTCTCTCTCTCTCTCTCTCTTTCTCTCTCTCTCTCTCTCTCTCTCTGTCTCTGTCTTTCCCTCTTTCACTCGCTGCCTCTCCCCCTCTCTCTCTCTCTCTCTCTCTCTCTCTCTCTCTCTCTCTCTTTTCCCCCCTCCCTGCGGCACTAGTCCAGCTGATAGCCAGGCGAGTTGCCTTGACCAGGGAAGCGCTGGGGCAGGCATGGGAGGTTGACGCTGACATGCGCTTCCAGTTTTCGCGTTGTCACCGCCCGTGGCCGCAGAAGTCTGCCCCTTGCGGTGGCATGCGTTCCTGGATTCCCAGATGCTCTTAGGCTTTTCGTGGAAGCGAGCCACGCGATGCCATGTAGGCCCAATGCGTGCTAGTTCGCCCCGTCCGTGCAGGGCGCTGGCCAAAACGCCAGCAGTAGCCATCCCAATGTACGGAGAATCTGCCTCTCTCTCTCTCTCTCTCTCTCTCTCTCTCTCATCTTGGGAGTCCGTACCAACATGGGGACCTGAGTTTCACCGCGTTGCTTCCTGTTTCTCCTCGAGCTGTCGGCGCCGCGGACAGTCAGCGAGCTGACAGACCGCAGTTAGCAGCGAGCTCGGCGGGGTTCGGTGTTTCGCGAAGGCCTTACGGCCGGTGCCGCCGACCTTGAAGACGCCGAGGAAAAGGCTTCCGCGGGTTAGGAGTGCCGAGGGCAGGAGGGAAACCAGGAGGGGGGCGCGGGTCGGTTCTGGGTGCAAAAGTGCGGTTCAGAAAGGCCTGGCGGACAGAGCTTCCGTGGGTGTGGGGTGCCGAGGCCAGGAGGGGCGCCAGGACGGGGGCGCGGGTCGGTTTTGGGCGCGGAACTGCGGGGTGGGGGTTCGCAAGCACAGTTCAGTGCGTTGGGGGTGCCGAGGCCAAGGGGGGGGCCAGGAGGGGGCGCGGGTCGGTTCTGCAGGGCGGGGGGTCCCAAAACAGAGTTTCTGTGGGTTGGGGGTGCCGAGGCCAATGGGGGGGGGGCCAGGAGGGGGGCGCGGGTCGGTTTCGAGCGCGAAATTGCAGGGTGGGGGGTCAACAAAAACACAGCTGCCGTGGGTTGGGAGCGCCGGGGCCAGGAGTGGGGCCGCGGAGGAGACCGAGAAGGAGAGCGTTGGTGGTGGATGTTGGAAGTTGGCCATAGTTGTGTCAATTGAGTCGCGCACACGCCTCTGGGGTCGGCGGACTAAGGACCAGTGATGAACCCCTTTCCGAAGGGGAAGAAGGGTTTGTGGAAGGGGGAAGAAACACATCGTTAGGCCGCATGTCGCCCAAAGGGCTGGCGGGATTCGGACCCCCCCCCCCCCCGGGATTATCAGCACCCCCTCGGGGTGTGCAGTTTACATACGATTCCGCCCCGTCGCTCATTCGACACTTGAAGTCATATGATCCTAGCCAAGCCGGGTTCCCCCCCGGCCAACCATCTTCTGCAATAACATACCATGCGGACATACTCCTTCATCTTCACATGTTTCCCATAATCGCGATCATAAGAAAACGAGACGAAGTGCACACCCGCGCGTCGTCGCGCGCGCAGCCTGAAATCCAAAAACCTCCGTATTCGTAAGGAATTCAACGCCGAGTGTCTCGAAACCATATGCAGCAACAGCTGGCCACATACTATTCCCGAAGCCAAACACCATTTTGCTAATTTTAAAGATAACCATTGACATGTCTATCAAATGCGACGAAGCGCGCCCCTCGCGTGCGCATGTCGTAAACCTTTGAACGCCTTTGCGCGCGTGCTGTCGCAAGAGTCCCTTGCTAACAACGGGACGGAGTGCACGCGCGCGTCGTCGCGCGCGCAAGCCGAAAGTCTTCAGAGACTTTATGCGGATCATGTCATTCCGCTGGGCCCGCCAGCAACCCACGAAGGTGGCGACAGTTTTGCACTTCGCAGCCCCCTAGGGCCGGCGAGGCCTCATTCTGGTTCGCGTATCACGCCACCCCGCTGGATCCGCCAGCAGCCATCGAAAGTGGCGACCGTCTCGCTGCTCGCAGCCCCCAGGGACAGCAAGGTCTCATTCTGATATGTCGTAGGAGCCATCGGAATCGGGAACAATTTCGCAGCTCGCACTTCGCAGCCCCCAGCGGCGGCCAGGCCTCATTCTGATTCGCGTAGGACGTGACGCCGTTGGGCCCCCAGGAGCCCACGAAGGTGACGACAGCTCCGCTGTTCGCAGCCCCCAGGGACGGCGAGGTTTCATTCTGATCCGCAGAGATCGTCACGCCGCTGGGCCCGCCAGAAGCCCACGAAAGCACCGGCAGCATCATGGCTCGCAAGCCTCAGGGGCGGCGAGGTCTCATTCTGATCCGCGTAGGACGTCACGCCGCTGGGCCACCCAGAAGCCAAGGAGAGCGGCGACACTTTCGCATTTCGCAGCCCCCCAGGGGACGTCGAGGTTTCATTATGATATGCGTGTGTCGTCAATTCGCTGGACCTCCCAGGACCTCCCAAACGTGACGTCAGTTTCGCAGTTCGCAGCCCGCAGGGACGGCGAGATCTCATTCGGATCTGCGTGTGGTACCACTCCAGTGGACCTCCCAGGAGCCCCTGAAAGTGGCGACAGCTTCGCAGCTGCAGGCCCCAATCCCAGCGAGGCCTCAGTTTAACCCGCGTCGGACGTCACGCCGCTGGGCCATTCAGAAGCTCACGAGAGTGGCGACATATTCGCATGTCGCAGTCCCCAGGGATAGCGAGGACTCATTCTGATCTGCGTATGACGTCACTCCGCTGGACCTCCCAGAGGCACACGAACGTGGCGACTGTTTCGCCGTTCGCGGCCACTTCAGGGACGGCGAGGCCTCATTCTGATCTGGGCGTGGCATCACCCCGCTGGGTTCCCAGGAACCCACGAAAGTGGCGACAGCTGGCGAGGCCTCATGACGATATGCGAATGGCACCACTCAGCTGGACCCACCGGGGGCCCACGAAAGTGGCGACGGTTTCGCAGCTCGCGGCCTCCAGGGACGGCGATGCCTCATTCTGATCTGTTTGTGGCACCGTTTCGCTGAGCCTCCGAGGAGCCACCGAAACCAGCGACAGTTTCGCAGTTCGTATCCACCAGGGGCGGGGAGGTTTCTTTCTGGCCTGCATGTGGCACCACTCCGCTGGGCCTCCCAAGAGCCCCTGGAAGTGGCAACAGGTTCGCTGTTCGCAGCCCCCAGGGACGACGACGCCTCATTCTGATCTGCGGATCATGTCACTGCGCTGAGCCCGCCAGCAGCCCACGAAGGTGGCGACAGTTTTGCACTTTGCAGCCCCCCAGCGCCGGCGAGGCCTCATTCTGGTTCGCGTATCGCGCCACCCCGCTGGATTTCCCAGGGCCTACGAGCGTGGCGCAATTTCGCAGTTCACGGCCCTCAGGGACGGCCAGGCTTCATTCGAATTTGCGTATGAAGTCACTCCGTTGGGCTTCCCCGGAGTCCACCAAGGTAGCGACATTTTCGCAGTTCGCAGCCCCCACGGACGGCGAGGCCTCATTTTTTGTCTGCGTATGAGACCACTTCGTTGGGCCTCCCAGGAGCCCACGAACGTGGCAACAGTTTCGCTGGGCCCTCTTGGCCTGTCGTGGCCCGTTTGGGAGCGGGCCGCGGCAGTCTCGGGAGCCTTGGGACACCCCCGAAGCCTGGTGATGTCTGTGGAATCATATGGCTCCCTCTCGTCCTGACTATCCGTGCTTTTCTGTGTTTGTGTCTGTTGTATGCTTGCTTGTGCACAGCGCCGTGACTGACGCTTTGGCTCAAGCCATTCTGTGTGCGTTGAGTGCAAAGGCATCCCTTTCAGTACATTTTGCGATGGCCGCCTGAACCCGTCGTGCCCACAGTGGTAGCGGAGCGTGGTTCACCGAACGACTTCCGGAAGCGAGGCCCAGGGCGGGTGCGCAGCTGGAGGACGGTTCACAGATCTACGGCAGGGCGAGGGCGACCTACGAGGGTGCAAGTACTGAAGACGGGTGATGAGTCATTCGAGCGCAGCTGCCTCAGCTAGCAGAGGTGCTCTTGTTAGCCCTCGAGGCGGCAGGGAAGGGCTGACAGACGCAGACATCGACAAGATTGCAGGCAGAGTGGCCCAGATGATACGGCTGGGCACAGGGGCTGCGCCGGCCTCGGCGCCACCTGAGGGCGCACCTAACCTCCAGGGGCTCGCCGGTCAAGATCAGAGCGCGGCTCCATCTCACGAAGCAGGCTGGAGCGTGGTCGACGACCCCTGGACGGAACACGATCCGTGGCGAGAAGAGTGGAGAGCGAAGGATGCGCGGGCAGAAGAGGACAAGCTAACACCACCATCCATGATGGCATCAGACACCTGGAAGGAGTGGAGAGACAGACCCGGGCGCCAACAGACCTGGGATCAAGACTACTCGTGGCAGAGCTGGGGTAGTCAAGGCAGCACGTGGCAGCACGACCGCGGCTGGTGGCAGGGCCAGTGGACCCAACCCAGGCCAGCACCATCCTGGCCAGGCTGGGAGAGATTCAGGCTGCGGAAGCAGTACGTGCAGCGCTGGAAGAACGGCCTGAACTTGAGCGAGGCTCAGGCAGCAGACAGACTGCTAGAGATCCTGCCCTGGGAGATCCGGGCGACCCTCGAGGACGTCCCGGATAGCGAGCTGACGGTCGAGCTCATACTGAAGAGGATGGGCCTCAAGTCCGGTGAGCGCGAGGACGACGACCTCTACCGGACGGGCAGCGAGGCCATGCAGGACACGGAGAGGAAGAAGGATGAGGACCTGCACACCTTCGCAGAGCGACGCCGACGCCAATTTGACAAGGCGAAGAGCATCGGGATGGAGATCCCACAGAAGATCCAGGGCATGCTGCTGATGCAAGGAGCTCGTCTCAACGAGCAGGGCAGACAGAACCTCAAGAGCCTGACGAAGGGCTCGATGCTAGGCGAGGACATCCTCTGGGCGCTGCCCAAGCTGGACACCGGAGGAAAGATCTGGAGCGACGGCAAGCAATCATCACTATTGAGTATGGGACTGGAGGAGGCACTGCCAACTCCCGAGGTCCAGCGGGCAGAGACCGGGCCGGTCGAGGAGCCGATCTACGAGTGGTCGTACTGGGCCGACGAGCTGGACTCGGAGGACGAGGCCATGGTTCTCGTCGAGCTCTCCGAGAAGGGCCTCGCGGAGCCAGAGGTGGTCGAGACCTTGGCACAGATCGGCAAGACCAAGAAGACGTGGAAGGAGAACCAGCAGCTGAAGACTGCGCTCAAGCGGGATCGGGGCTTCTGGAAGAAGAAGCGCCGGCTCACCCCAACACAGCTGAAGTTGATCACGAAGTGCGGCAACTGTGGAGAAGTAGGGCACTGGCACAAAGAGTGCAAGAATCCTCATCGTCCCAGAGAGCGAGATGGCAAGGGCAAATCTCGGTCTTGAGGGGCCGAGATCGAGGCCTTCACGTTCACAGCGATCGGCGCGGGCGACGACCAGGACTTCAACATCGACGGCATCACGGTCCTGGGCAGGGAGGTGCTGGCGACCCTCAGGGAGATCGTCAGCTCGGAGACTACGGAGCTCTCGCTGCTGATTCTCGAGGGCGGCCTGATCATCGTGGACAGCGGTGCCTCCCAGGCTATCATAGGCCGCCGGGCTTTGAAGGAGCTCGAGGGAGATCTGCAGCAACGAGGCCTGCGGATCAACTGGATCGAGAAGAGCGTCCAGACACCTCGGGGTATCGGCGGATCGGCCACGCTGGTCGGAGTCGCCGTGGTGCCCATCTCCATCGGTGGCAAGAGCGGGACCATCGAGTTCGTGGTGACGAAGGAGGACCTGCCGCCACTCTTACCAGGCGGGTTTCTCGAGCAGTTCGGCGCAGTGCTGGACTACGAGAAGGAACTTCTCATTTTGAAGAAGTTGGACTGTGAGACTGAGCTCCACCGGATCGGGAAGAACCATCGGGGGATCTACATCAACGACTGGCGCGGGACGGAGAGCAGCTTCTCTCCCAGCTCGCGTGCCTTGCCAGCTGGACTCAGCTCGGACGCCTTCCGAGCCCCGACTGAAAAAGAAGACGTACTCTCTTGGAAGGATCCCTCCAGGCCTCAGAAGGAGAGAAACGACCCCACAGGAGCCCCCGCACCTCAGAGAGATCCCGGGAGCCTGCATACCGACTACAGCAGTTCGAAACCAGTGATGCCTTCCTCCAACCACGACTCCCGCCACATCTCCAACCCTGTAGCTGATCTGGCTCAAACATCGAGCCAGGCACAACCACCAAGCTCACCGCGAGATCCGCCTCAAGTCGATGCGGGACCGCCCAGACTTGGACATCTCAGAGAGGGTCAAGATCCAGTGGATCAGGCTGCTGCATGCCGGACTGATGTGGACACAGACCCTCATGGACAAGTTCTTTGCTCTGAACAGGCGCGGGAGACTCTTCCCGGGAAAGGAGCTCCGTCGGAGGATGGTGGAGGACCCCAGGCTGGTGAACGACCTCTACGAGTACCGGGTTCCGATGACGGCTCCCTTGGCGGACGGGTCGGTGCCTTGGACGCTCTGTGTGCACCGCCCCAGGTGGTTCGTGACCTCCCACAACCAGTACGGGAACTGGGAGCAGTGCAACAAGTGCAAGGTGAGGACGTCCTATCGAGAGATCGGGTACCGCGGGGGCGGCCACCGACAGATGACGGCACCGGAGATGAGGAAGCTCAAGCAGCAGCTCCCGCGCGACGTCAGGCCCCTGAGCTCGGCAGGCTCGGCGATGCGGGAGGGCGCAGCTCCGGCTCCGAGTCGACGCGTGGCGTCGGCGCCGAACGACGAGAACACCTGGTCGAGCTTCAACCAGGAGCCCCCGCCACCGTGGGCATCAGAGATGGTGCGAGGCCTGTCGGCAGCAGTGGCCGAGGCGATGGCGGCATCCACGGGGCCGATGACAGCAGCGATACGCGAGCAGTCCGTGACGCTCTCGCACATGGTGGCCACGATGCAGCAGATGGCGTCAGAGTCTCCAGCAGCAGGCGGAAGTGCGGACTCCAGCTCGCCGACACCGCCAACCGGTCCGCCACCGACGACCACCGGGGCATTGCCAAACCTCGGGTTCACCATGGTGGAGGAGGTCCCGGCGGACACCGACATGAGGGGCAACTGAGAGAGAGCGGCGTGCTGCGGCTACTTGGCGACAAGTCTCGACAGGAGTGCTGGCTTCGAATCCCTACCTCTCGCAGTTTACACAGAGAGGCCAGCGCTGTTCTGGAGCAGGCCAGGGCCAACGGCCGGTGCTACCGGATCGATCAGGAGGCTTTGGAGAAAAGCGAAGGCCCTCTATCTTCTCCCTCATCCCGTCTCAATCTCCCCTCTGTTCCTGCCTGGCAGTGTGAGTCCGACGACGGGCGATACCGACTCTGGGTCAGCACCTACACATCCACCTATCAGGGTAGACCCAACTCTACCGAAGGCGGGTCTGCGGGTGCGGGGTTCTACTACGTTGTCCCTCTCCAGAGCTACCTGTCTATCACGACGCTACGCGGCTCCGAGCTACATCACGACTCCGACGACACGCTAGCTAATCTAACGGGCCTGGACAACTACACTCACCAGTTCAAGGTTGACCAGAGGAGTAAGCGTCGTCTTCGTCAGAGTCTCCGAGGTCTTGGAAGAGTATCGGGATCCGACTCCTGGGGATTCGAGTTTGTTGAAGTTTTCTCACCTCCTCGCACGGCAAAGGTCTCCTCTCAGCTGGGCTCCAGGGGCTCACCGACTGGTGGCAGCTTAGACTTAACCACGGGCTGGGATTTCCGACGTACGGATCACCGGGAGCTAGGAAAGCGGTTGATCAAGAAGTGGCGTCCATGGTTGGCATTTCTCAGTCCTCCCTGCACTGAATTCGCCGCCATCAACGCAGTCAACGATGAGCGGCGAGATCCGATCGAGATGGCCCGAGCGCGTGGAGAAGCATTGGACCTGTGGGCGTACGCGATGGAGATAATCGAGCTTCAGATCTCGGGCGGTCGCAAGTTCGCTCTGGAACAACCTACTACTGCGACCTCTTGGGCTCTTCCCAGTACTCAGAGGCTTCTGGAGCTCCCGGGCGCATCCAGGATCACGTTTGACATGTGCAGGTTTGGGCTCTCGGTCAGGCCTGGCACGATTTCCAAGAAGCCAACCACTGTGGTCTCCAACGACTGTGAAGTTTACAGGGCTCTCTTGGGAAAACGGTGTGCCGGGGACCACCGACATTTGGTGCTGGAGGGAGGCGGTCTGCCACGACGCGCGGCATGCTATCCTACTAAGTTCTGCAAGACCATAGCCCACGCGGTTCACCGATCCGCAGAGCTTCAGCAGCTGGGAACCGACGAGAGCTTTCCGAGCGGGGTGCTGGCGACTCGTCGACAGGAACGACCGACCCAGTCTCAGGTGGAGGGCCACGAGCAGGACAACTCTGAGGACGAGGAGGAGGAGGATGAGCAGCAGCAGCAGCAGGACTGCCCGTTGACTCAGGAGCAGATTCGGCAGGTGGAGAAGGCACATATTAATCTTGGTCATCCCACCAAGAGAGACCTGCTTCGTATCCTTCGGTGTGCTCACGCTCGGCCAGAGATACTGCGCTACGTTCAGCATCACTTTGTGTGCCAGTCATGCGAGAGTGCCGGCAAGTCGATTCCTCAGCGAAAGGCAACAGTTGCTCGGACATTCTCATTCAACAAGCTGATTGGAGTAGACCTGTTCTTTGTGACATATCAGCACCGGGAGTACACGTTTCTGAATGCCGTATGCCTGGGGACCTCGCTACAGTGGGTAGGGATTGTGGGACCCGGGAGATGTTCGCAGCCAGCAGCAGTGTGGAAAGCCTTCTCACGGGGGTGGATCCGACATTACGGACCTCCAGAGGTCCTTATATCCGACGGCGGGAAGGAATTCGAGGCTGAGTTTAGCAGACACTTGGAGCAACAAGGGGTGTTCCAGCACACCACCGACGCAGACAGCCCTTGGCAGAACGGGAAGACAGAGCGGGCGGGTCAATGGTTGAAGGAGCGGCTCCAGCGGTTCGTGGACGATACCATCCTGGAGGGACCCGACGACCTAGAGCTGGCGGCCTGCGAATTGGCTGCCTGGCGGAATCGTTTCCTGAATCGAGGCGGGTATTCACCACTACAGCTAGTATTTGGGCAAACCCCCAGGGTACCACAGGAGTTGCTCAGCGAGGACCCGTTAGACCACATAGGACTTCACGATCTCGAGGAACCGAGCGCCGACCTCGACAGTGCGGCGGCAGCTTTCCGACATCAACACGAGATCCGGTCTCGTGCCCGACAGCTTGCGATGGAAGGAGATGCGCGTAGGAAGTTGCAGCATGCGTTGGGATCAGCGCGGCACAGGGACAGGACCTACCGACCAGGGGATTGGGTATACATCTGGAGGCGAGCGCCCAAGACAGGGCGCAAACCATACGGTTTGCAACGGGATCGGTGGGTTGGGCCAGGTGCAGTGATATTTCATCATGGAACAACAGTGTGGGTGTGTGTGCGCAGTCGTTTGTGGAAATGCAGTTGTGAACAGATACGACCTGCTACGCAGTCAGAGTCCCTCGGGGCCGAGCTCATCCAGACCACGTGCTATCGGGACGTCTTGGACGAGCAGCTTGCTAAGGGGATCTCGGGAGGGGCTCTAGACGTTGCTCAAGAGGGACCACCACCACCAGAGGCCACCATGACTCCCATCAGCTCCGAGGGTAACGCGTCTCCTGTGACCATAGCACCAGCAGGCTCCAACGAGGTTCCAGGCCACCAAGGGGGCTCTCGGGACTCCAACATGGGCTCCAACAACATCGAGGCTCCAGAGGTCCCTACTCCAGCTCCCGACTCCAGCTCCCACCCCACTCCAGCTCCGACTCCGGCTGTCGCAGGTATTGTGGCTCAAGCAGTTGCTGAGCCTCCTGCACCGCCACCGGGACTGCGACCTCCGACCCAGGCTGCCGGCGTGAGACCTAGACCGCGACTCGTCTGGGCTCCCGGTCCAGTGACTCGTCTGATACCTGTGCCAGAACACGAGGAGTCAGATCCTGCTCCAGCGGACCCTGCAGGAGCTCTCGGACAGGGCGGTGCTGTCTCAGCCGCAGCCGGACCTCAGAGGGAGCCAGCCGCCGAGCCAACACCTCCTGTGTCTCAGACTGGCTCGACACCTGCCGGATCGGAGACAGGCTCACAGGCGGTGGCCACAGCTGGCGGCTCGCGGGCTTCGTCGAGACGACCTTCTCTGTCCGAGGACGACCTGGAGATCAAGCGAGCCAGGCTGGATCCTGACACACTCCGGTCCGCGACCGGAGGGGCTCCTACCGACGAACAGCTCAGGGGTTCTGGCCTACCGACACCCATGGAGCTCTTGCCAAGGGCCGAGGGTCGGGTTCGCACCCAAATCCAGGAGTTCGAGAACTGGCGGTCTCAGCAGAGCAGCGCTGCAGCCTTTTCTCAGGCCGGGCCCCTGGAGACGGGGTCGGAGACCCCGATGGACGAGACCGGCTTCAGCGCTCTCGAGGGCTACTGCCAGGTGCTGGACTCTTGGTTCGAGGACTCCGGCTGGAGCGGGGACGTCGAGACCTACATGAACGGCCGGAAGGATCTGATCTTCGAGTGCTCAGAGGACAGCGCCGGGCAGTGGTCTCTGCTCTCCTCACGCGGTGGGGAGGTCAAGCTCAAGGATCTCTCGGCACAGGAGCTCGAGGATTTCCGACGATCGGACGAGGCCGAGTGGGGCGTACTCAACAAGCCTAACGTGCTGCGGATCCTCAGCAAGGAGGAGTCCACTCATGTGCTTCGCACCCGGCCAGAGCGGGTGCTATCGTCCAGGATGGTACGACGATGGAAGGCCCAGGAGGGTACGTTTAGTGCCCCAAAGGCCAAGAGCAGATGGTGCGTGCACGGTTTTGCAGATCCTGACACTGAGCATCTAGTGACGTATTCTCCGACGCCTCAGTCCGAGGCCATGATGCTTTTCGGGCTGGTACTCTTGGGCCATGGCATGGACCAGAGTATAGTGGACTGCAAGAACGCATTCAGTCAGTCGAGGCGACTCCGCAGGGCTGGTGGACCCATCTACGTGGCTCCCTGTGAGGGGCTCACTGGCATTCACGTTCCCGACGGGTGCCTTATTGAGCTACATGTCGCCGTCTATGGTCTAGACGACGCCCCTTGGGAATGGCACGCCACGATCACCTCCTACCTACGCGACCTTGGCTTCAAGAAGTTGCTGATGGAGCCATGCTACTGGACTCTCCGGGAGCAGGGCGCCCTGAAGGCTCAGGTCCTGATGGAGGTGGACGACCTTTGGCTGGGTACAGTTGCCTCCCACACGAGGTGGTTGGCCGACTCTCTCAAGGCCAGGTTCACCTTCGGCAAGTGGAGAGGCGACGAGGCCGAGTTTGCAGGACGCCGCATCAGGAAGGAGGCTCACCGCATTCGCCTGGACCAGGAGAAGTACATATTGGAGGATATTCATCCGATTGTCTTGGAGAAGGGCCGCCGCTCCAAGAGACAAGAGCCTCTGAGCCGCTCAGAGTTCGAGCAGCTCCGATCCGGCATCTACCGGATCAACTGGGCGGCGAAGGAGACCCGTCCCGAGGTGGCGGGCACGGCTTCCATACTCGCCAGCAAGCTGGAGCAGGCGGTGGTGGAGGACATCGTTGTTTTCAATCGGGCCGTCCAGATGCTGCGTGACACCGCCTCGCAGTACCTGACCATCTGGCGCCACGACCTATCGCAGGTGGTGAGTTTTACTTTGAGCGACGCGGCGGGGATTGGCACGGACTCACCCATACAGTGTGCCTGGGCTGTGGGAGTGGCTGACCCTCAGCTGGCCGCCGGACTGACCAGCAAGGTGACGATGCTTTCCTGGAGATCCTCCAAGATGCGTCGAGCTGCCAACTCATCCCTGGCCGGTGAGGCCAACTCTCTCTGCCAGTCTCTTGGAGAAGCCGACTGGATCCAGCTGCTACTTCGTGACGCTTGCTTTGGGGACGTTCCTACTGCCGACTGGCGACAGCACGCAGGCCCCTACGTGTCGGTGTTACGTGACAACTGCGAGTTGCACCGACCCTTGCCTGGAGTTCATGCCACGGACGCCAAGTCCATCTTCGACTGTCT